TATGGAACCACTGTCATAAATGCAGTACGCTGCTGACCAAAACGTTGTTATGCGGCACACGACACAAGATGTTGATTTTGTGTGAGCCATCGCAGTGTGTCACTGTAAACTAGCCAATTAGAGCACAGCTCATCAACACAACAAGGAGCCCGACGAAAAAGCAAATTGGCCTATTTCATTCTAGGGCCAAATAACAGCCTTTAAAACCACTTCTTGGCATTTTTCGACCAAATCAAGTTCACACACCTTCTATGTAGACACCAGAGAACAATTTAAAATACTGAACACAAAGCATTCTATGGCACCTGCAAGAAAACTACCTTCCCACATTATCTTGTTGTCTCTGCTTCACACAGTGAAGGGACTAACTACACAGGACACAAATGTCTTCCTTAGAGTAAACATTTTGCAAAAACATGCTGATAATTTTGGTCTTTGTTCCAACAACTTGTTGATTAGTTGTGTTTGAAAATACTGATTTAGTAACAAAGCCATTTCTCCTGATCTTCATGTTCTTAAATAGCTGTTCAAGCTGAATATCAAATACATTTATCTTAATTGTAACTATAAAGCTGACCGCAAAAACTGGCTTGACAAATTTTTAGTAAAACCTTTAATTTCCCTATTATTTCATGAAATTAAAGAGAACATCAGAAAAGTAACCTTGGTTTCAAATTCCGAGAGACATCCCACATATTTTGTCAGGTTTTATAAGACAAATGTAGAAAATCCCTCTGGAATCATGATAGAATGAATTTTTCATAAAAAAAACATAGCATAGTGAGGGAGCATGAGGGACATTCCTTCAGAGGGTGTAGGGAGCATGAGGGACATTCCTTCAGAGGGTGTAGGGTCTCCCACACGATGATGGCTCTAAAAAAACAGGTTTGCATTGACAGATGCATCATGGTGGAACAACCGTTTATAGCATAGACCGCACCATAAAATAGTGACTTACTGAGCGAGCAAGAGAATTAATGAGCAAATTAAGGAACTAAAACACTCCGCACATACTAACAGGAAATGTGCTGCTGCTTCATTGTCTCATCCTGACTGGACACCACTACCTGATTAGAAGATACAATGTGAAGTATTGTCTCTCAAAAATAAAAAACAATGGATAAGTTTTGTTATCTAGCCTTTGATCTTCTCTCCATTCATCGTGTATCACGGAAATGATACAAGGTGCACAAAGCAGATGAATTGTAACAGTTCAATACTTGTGCACATCATTACAGCAGTGGCCAGTTTCAAGTCTCTTTACTGTCAGACTAGCATTTGCCCTTAAAAAACAATATATTCATTTATTAAATTACATATTTCCCTATAAATGTTATATCTTTGTGGGTGTGTGCTTTTAAGGTTGATTCATTAGTACCTAAATGGTTTTGAGGCCTTAGAGAAAGGCTGCTACTTCCTTTGTCATTTGATTGTAGCTATCAAATAGTGTAAAATGTACTTTATACATTGTTTGACCATTGGTAAGAAATCCTTTGATTTAGAATGTTGGTCAGCATTTGGTTCACACAGTACAACTGCTTGTCTAAAAATATTCATTGCTGAATTGTTAGGGAGTGTCAGATAAGGTCATTCTGAATAGTAAAACTGAAAATAATTGCTGTGTTCCAGAGACTAGACCTGTTCTCATCTAATATGTCCCATGTACATAGACCGATAAAGTCCTGTAATCAGGTCCCATATACATAGACGTCTTGATGTAGACACATTGGCCGGCAGAGATACTGTTTTCAGAAACAAACTGACATGATGGTTTCTGTGTTATGATGAGTATTTGCCTGATTAGCTATATTAGCTATAAGTCCTTTAACAGTAATACTAAATTTCAATAATAAAATAGCTTGTCTAATGTAGCTCACAACTTAATTAGTACCATGAGTGAAATGCTTGTTACTACACTGTCGGGTTAAGCTAGTAAAATCTGCCCCGTGTGTGGCCCCGCCCTGTGTGTAGCCCTGCCCCATGAGTGGCCCCGCCCCATGTGCAGCTCCACCCCATGTGTAGCCCCGCCCCATTTCCCAGGCTACAGCTGGGTACTTCTAGATTTCAGCACATACACTGCATATAAAACGATTCACACATTCAGTTCATAGCTCATCCTACTGAATAAAATTATCCCTTATATTTTTGAATCTCTTCATACACATGCATCTCCACACACACAGGGCCATGGCAAAGATTCAAACCCTGGACCCCAAAAGTGTGAGGCAACAGTGCTAATTAGTGCACCACCCCATCTTCTAACCATATATCGGGAAAAGTGGGGGGGTTGGGTCCCTTCCCAGACAGAGCAGGGTAAATCATAAACTAGCACAACGCAGGGATTACATGTGAATTCCACCGACACAGAGCAGGTGAGGTTCCCAGTCCAAACCCTGAGGGTATGAGGCTATAGTGCTACACACTGAGCCACCCTTTGCATAGTACGAAATGTAATACACAAGTGTAGCCATAGCAATGTCATCAGCAAGCTAATTCTGACCCCTGCTGGTGATGCACCAACACAGCATCACATCTGGCATTTTCTCTGCCACAAACACAGAAGAGAACACCTTAATCCTTAGAGCAATTTTAAAAATGCAGTTGGCCATTTTCTTCCTGTGTTTGTTATTAAATTGTTTTGCAAAATGGTGTTTACAAGAGGACATATAACGTAATGTTATACACATTCATGGCTAATATTACACATTCAGTGCCAATTTAACTGTCCAACTGTGAGACTAAATATTACAAAGGGTTTTCACTCTCCCCGCCCAAAGCTTGCTACGCCCCTACACTGAGGGGCTCAGTGTAGGCAATGCTTCTGTATCACCTCCTGAACCTTGGATCTCAAAGGCTTCTTATCTCAACCAACTCGGACGCCGAACACATCTGTCGAATTTTCTAGAACTTGTACCCTTGCCAAGATCTTGGAACTCGACCATTCTGGCAAAAATTTGTATGGGTCCAGACACGTTTCCTTAACCAATTCAGACATCAAAAGGGGCAGTTAAGAAAAATCTGCCACGACTCGACCGGAAACTCGGAACACGACAAAACAAAACAGGCTGCTAAAACCTGTATGGTTGGAGACGCGTCTCCCCTTCTGAACAATAACCCCTCCCTCCCTCCTCCTCTCCACCTGCCGCTTCCAGTATGGCAACAGCTCACCTCAATACAGATAAAGTGATTATAAATTGTCATTCATTTCATGCATATCGCTTTTGTATGTGTGCATTAGTTTTAAATTGATTGTTAATGCCCTTTATCATTTGTTAGGTGGGAAGATTTAAATAGGTACGTTTACATAGGCAATAATTTGGGGGTCTGGAATGGATTCAATTCATTTACATTATTTCTTATGGGGAAATTCGACTTGGACCGAATCAGGTACCAATGTACACACCATGCGGGGGAACAGCACCCCCTCCAGGGCGTATGATTGCCCTGTACCGCATGGGTCAGGCTATGTAATGTCTTTGAATTGCCTACTGTGCACGTGTACATACCCTGTGGGGGAACAGCACCCCCTCCAGGGTGTACAGCTGCCCTGTACCGCATGGGTCAGGCTCCAGGCGACTCTGACCAGGATACATAGCTGCCGGATGGATGAATGACTGATGGGCTGATTATAGGACATAAACACACAAAGCCACTGTAGTCGCACCTGACACCAGGGGTCTCCTAACCGGCTGATTCCGCCGGACAGCTGTTGGGTGTGGGGTAACGTTTACTCTCCCATGCTAATAAAACCCCAGACACCCAATTTCACGCAGGAAGCTCAGAGTCCAGGACTGACAAGCTGTTTGACGATATTCTGGGCAGCAGGAACTCGCTTCTGAGCCTGAGAGCTCCACTAAGGCTGAGGTCTTGAGCCGCTTTGAAATGAGACACATTGCAGGCCTTTCTGAACTCTGACAGATGAAAGAAACAAAGTCAATTATCCTAGAAATGTTCTCATGTGCTCGTAGGTAATAGGTAATCCCTCCTGTACCACAAGGATTCAGAAGAATCCTGCTAGAAACTTCAAGACGTACTTTAGAAGCTAATTTTATTTTTTGTTCTAGGAATAAATACAATAGATAAAAGATGATCAAAGAATTATTACTAAAGAAGGAAATGAAAAATTTAAACTCCTGTGAATCATCAAGTAATTTTCACATACATCATGTTTTGTTCTGTTTTTAAGTGAAAAAATTAATGATTAATGCAAGAATCATTCGTCTGAGTTTAACAATCGCTGCCTGGCAGTAAATGACAGAGCTTGGAATCGGATAACAATGCACAGAATTTAACCACCACTAGGTGTCAGCCAAGCAACATATTTATGTTGAGTTAACCTCTTCTTAAAGTATTAAAGTTCCTCGCGCAGATAGGTTCAGGGGGCTGCAGTCACACCTCTGACCAGGATAAGTCAGGTCTCTGAGGACACCAATGAAAGCTCTCCCTCAGGACCCTGACCAACCCATTGAGTATGTAGAAGAATGAGGGGATGAATGGGAAGCTTTTATCGAAAGTAACATACAATTTAAAAAAAAAAGCAAGGTCAGACATTCCCTGGAGCAGCTGGAGGGTGATAGAACTAACTACCCACTACTAACTAAGGTAACTAAGGTAGCTGACAACCAGCGGCCGCTGCTGGGAGACAGCACACACACACACACACACACACACACACACACACACACACACAGGTTTGTAATTATATCTGTGTGTGGACTCTCCATTCATTTCATGATGCCTACCCAGCCCTACCCCTAACCATAAGTAACCAAACGAGACTTTTGTCATTATTAGTTTTTTGATTGCATTCACAGATCTTTGTGGGGACCTGAGAAATGGTCCCCACAACGTCAAAATAACAGGCTTTTATTACATTGTGGGGAAAAGGTCTGGACTTTCACTCTCCGGACCGGAATTACCAACACACACACGCTTCCTCACATTCACACACGCTTCCTCACACACATGCATGACTGAACTGAGCAGCGTTAATTACTCACATCAAACTCGTTGAGGGCGGCGGCCAGTTCTCCGATGCCGGCGTGGCTCTGCTTCTCATCGGCGGGTGATGCGGCCTGGGCGGCACTGGAGATGCCCGCCACCGCCTCCTGCACCTGCTTGAAGACATAGTCGCGGTTGGCACGCGTGGCCGCCACGTCGGGGTGCCGCAGGAAGGCCTGTGATGCCGTGTACAGCATGGTGGCATTCTTCTTCAGGGCCCCACGGGCCGCCGCCATCTCATCCCGGCATTGGGGGTCCTTCAGCTCCTGCACAAAGAGGCGTCTGTTCAGAAGCTAGCAGAGGCACCAAGCTCACCAGAAGCCGGGCAGGTCTTCTACACTCTCAAAGATAACAGCATCAAACACTGTGCGTCTATCCATCCATCCATCTTCCAGCTGCTTATCAAGTATGGGAGGGGGACTGGAGTCTGTCCCAGGAAGCAGATGGCACAGGTCAGGGGACACCCTGGATGGGATGCCAGTGCATTACAGGGTGCATTACAGGGGACGCCCTGGATGGGAAGCCAGTGCATCACAAGGTACATGACAAGGGACGCCCAGGATGGGATGCCAGTGCATTACAGGGGACGCCCTGGATGGGATGCCAGTGCATCACAGGGTACGTGACAGGGGACGCCCTGGATGGGATGCGAGTGCATCACAGGGTACGTGACAGGGGACGCCCTGGATGGGATGCGAGTGCATCAC